GACGCGGCGGGCCGGGCGTCTCCGCGGGGCCGGGCCGGGAGCGGGCGCAGTCCCTGGGGCGGGGTGGGCCCCTCCACGGCGTCTCTGGGGCGAGGCGGGTTCATGGCAGAAGCACGGGGGAGTGACCCCAAGCCGGGATCCCGCGTCGCCGCGTGCGGAGCGGGTGGCCTTTCCCGGGACGCGGCGTCGGTCCCCGCGGACGTCTCGCCGCTGCGGTCTCCCACTCGAGCACTGCGCGCGGCGGAGCGGGCCGCCACGGTGGGTCCCTGGTTGCCTTTGGTGGTTGTGAACACAGACGTGACGTCGGGTGTGCGGGTGACTTGCAGCCGCGAAGGTGGACTTGCAGAGGGACGGCGTGTTGGTTTCCTCCCTCGTGCCCACACTCCGGCCTCCAGGAGCTGGATACGCGGCCCTCACTGAGCCTGGGCACTCTCTCCCGGGACTCTTGCTTGAAGTCTCGGCTTTAAATGCCGTCTTGTGTGGGGGTGGGCTCCTGATGAGCGTCGCGGCGCCGGCCTCGGGCTCTGGTCCAGACGCCTGCCCGACTTCTCCAGCTGCGCGTCTGTTGGTGACCCCAGACTTGCCCCGCTCCTCCACCCTGTTCCTCTCCCGCTCGCCCCTCCTCGTTTTGGCCCCATCCTTCAAGGCCTCACACTGGAAACCTCCGGTCGTCTTCGGTTCTTCCTTCCTTCTGTCACTTCTTGTGCAGTCCAGCAGCAACCACTGACTCCAGGCACCTCGATCTGGCCATGTCTTTCCCCCTCTTCTGCCTCTGTCCTCTCTCTCGGGTGTCTCCTTACGGGACTTGCTCAGCTCTCACCCACCTGCCTTTGCCCCGCTGTCAGCTGGGAAACTAGAGCTGTCTTTTACTGTTTTAATTTACTGAAGCAGTTTGGTACAGACTTTGTATAAAGTAATATCTATAACGTACATGTTAATGACGAGCCATAAAACAGGATGGACAGTGGCGCTTACCACTCATCTCAGGAGCCCAGCTGGTATTCCCAAAGCTGCACAGCCGCCTCTGTGGCCTCTGCCCTTTGCCCCTCCTCCCACAGGTAGCCACCTTCTGAGTGCCAGATTTCATATGAGCCTTTGGTAGGTATTTCTTGCTAAAGACAAATCATGTAGTTCGTCTTGTTCTTGTTCTTTTTCTTTACAAAACTCACACCAGACTCCGGCCTCTGCGGCAATTCGCTCTTCCCACTTTGTTGTATGAGTTGTCCCCGTGACGGTGTGTGAGTTCATTTGTTTTAACAGCTTTATTAAATTTTGTTGTGTAAATACATGACCACAGTCTTTTCTTGGCAATGCTGAAATCCAAGTATCTTTGAAACCAAAAGGTTTTTTTTTTTTCTTTTCAGTTTGTTTGGTGGCAAAACCTGAGTTGGTGAAGTTTAATAGCCTCCATTCCACTTAGCATGATCATTCACACATTTCACTATAGGAATAATGTCTGATTATGGGGTGCTGCCTCTGACCCCAGTGAGGCTGTTAAATGGTAAATTGTGGCATACAATCTTTGTATAGTCTGAAAAATTCTGAATTCCAAAACATATCTGCTTGGGGGTTTTGGACAGGGGATTGTGACACTGTACACCACAGTCCTTTGTCCATGCTACTGTTGAATGGACATTTGGGTGTGTGGCTTCCACATTTCTGCCATTTTGAACAGTGCCTCTATGAACAGGCTTGTCTGTGTTTGGTGCACACTGGTGAGTTTTTCTAGCATGTAAATTTGGCAAGAGTGAAATTGCTGGATTGTAAAGAGCATACATGTTCCACTTTACAGAGGACACCAGATTATTTTCGAAATACCAATCTGTTTTCCTGATACCAGAGTAAGAGTTCAAGAGAACTCCACATCTTCCCTGACACTTGGTATTGTCAGACTTGTTCATTTCTGTCACTCTGGTGGGTGTACGATTGCAGAGTGTATGATTGCAGCCTTCTTTTTAGCACATGCGTCATAGCTTGCACTTCTTTAGCTTATAACTCTCCAGTGGTTGCCCTTTGCACTTAGAGGACTATCAGCTTGTAAGGCCTTACTCAATCTGACTCCAGCTCACCTCTTGGCCTCTTAGTTCTAAGACCTTTGGCTTTTCTTACATTCTTCCTACCTTTTAAACACCCCAACCTTCTTGCCGTTGCCCAAACATGTGTTTGGGCCTCAGGCCCTTTGTGCTTGTTTTTCACAAGATTTGAAGTATCTTCCCATTCTCTCCTTTTATTTCTCACTACATCACTCTGTGTTATTTTCTGAAGTGATCACAATGGCCATAGAATTCTTTATCAATTTTTTAAGTGTTATTTTTTTTCCTGTAGAAATAAATCAGAATGAGTTATGCAGAAAAACCTGATGAAATCACGAAAGATGAGTGGATGGAAAAGCTCAATAACTTGCACGTTCAGCGAGCAGACATGAATCGTCTCATCATGAACTACCTGGTCACAGGTAATGGCTTATAGTAAGGATGCTACCAGTTGAACATTAGCCTCTCTTGTACACACAGGTAATACTTTACCATGTGATGGTAAAGTTACGCTTTGTTTAGACATTATAAACACGCAGTGCTAACCTGATAAATTTGTGAATTATCATGTTAAAGATAACCTTTTCTGGAGATGATATAATTATTCCTAAGGCAAAAACCTGTTTCTTGGCCTTTGATGGTTTTACAGTTATATAATCAAAAGGTAACTAAGACTGTTCTGAAGTACCTTTGAAGCCCGAATAATTGGTCTCTTTTGGCCAGTCCAGAATAGTGGCCTGTTTGTAGGTGTGCCCAACTCAGAAGAGGGAAGGGAGGGTGGAAGTGTGCAGAAGGAGGAGCACTCAGCACCCTCCCCGACACCGGGGAGGAAGTAGGGCATTGCCACTGGGGGTGAGAAAATCCACGTTTTCAAAAGGCATAAGGCAAAAAATAAGTCTCCCCCGTTAGTCTCCAGTCCCCCTCCCAAATTATCTCTGTGAAAGTTTTTTGAAAGGTGATGAAGAAGTGCAGGCCCGTCCTTGTGTGTGCGTGAGCGGGCGGGTATGTGGCGGATACACCAGGTCTGATGTCGGAAAGAATTGTAGACTCACGCTAAGAGGTGGGAGTCAGCAGGCTGCCATAGATGCCCAGCCGGTGTGTCTTGCCTCACCTGGAACCAGACCTGCAGCTTCTGGCATCTGGACCTGTAACATCAGCCTTCTTAAAGGAGTCCACACCCAACACACTGGGCTAGCAGTCGTTCTGACCTCTGGCTGATAGGTCAGAGTTTTTTGGGGTAGAAATGAATGAAGCATATGCTTTGCATTTTCTATATTTCCAGGGCATAACTTGTAAACCACAAAGATATTAATACCAAGTCCCTAAGAAAGTGTGGTTCATATGGGAGGTTACTTAATTGAAGGAATTGGGCTTTCTAGAGGTGCAAAGTCATTATGTCTATTCCTTGCTAACTTTCCTAGCAGTGAATGTGGTTTTCATTTTCAGAGGGCTTTAAGGAAGCAGCGGAGAAGTTTCGAATGGAATCTGGGATTGAACCCAGCGTAGATCTAGAAACACTTGATGAGCGAATCAAGATCCGGGAGATGATACTGAAAGGCCGGATCCAGGAGGCCGTCGCACTGATCAACAGTCTCCACCCGGAGCTCCTGGACACAAACCGGTACCTTTACTTTCATTTGCAGGTGAGTTTCAGCAGTGGGTAGTCTGGTTTACAGGCACTTGATAACTTAAGGTTGTTCGCAATGACTCTGAAATAACTAGGCTAATTTGCAACAAAGAGTATTGTTTTAATTTATGTGGGGGAGGGGTTTGAATTAGCTGCTGTTTTATGTTTTTCAGAAGCTATTTTTTGCTTTGAAAATGCAAATAACTCAGAGATGCTAGAAAAATCTCTCCTTTGAGATGTCCTTTTGACTGGAACCAAGTTCCACACTACATGATGTCACTCACCTGGTCGTGTGTTGATTAAGCTTGTTTGTCTTTGCCGTTGACCAGCAACAGCATTTGATTGAGCTGATCCGCCAGCGTGAGACAGAGGCGGCACTGGAGTTCGCCCAAACACAGCTGGCGGAGCAGGGTGAGGAGAGCAGAGAATGCCTCACGGAGATGGAGCGCACTCTGGCCCTGCTGGCCTTTGACAGCCCTGAAGAGTCGCCCTTCGGAGACCTCCTCCACATGATGCAGAGGCAGAAGGTAGAGCTTGCTCGGGGGACGTCCTCCTTGCTTACCCTCAGTGGATGTTCAGAAGGGGGTTCTGTGACGATGCCAGGCGTGGTGCATTTGTGGGGTAGAATGAGAGACAGGTGACTTCTGGACACGGGACACCATGGTATGGTAGCAGCTATTCCTCCCTAACTTTTAATCTTATCTTGCTAAACTAGGACATATTGTAGCTATTAGGACGGAACTTTAAAAAGTTCATGTAAAAATTCAATTAAAAGTTAATACAAACCTTTCCATGAACTTTTTGAAGTACCCCTGTATACGCCATTCAGACCTCTTTGCCGATTTATTTAACTTTTTTCCTGTTTATTTGGAGACTATTAGAAACAGATGTCTTAAGTCGTTGTAACTGAAAATCTTGTGTTTTCTTCTGGAACTTAACTCTCTTCTCTGCTGCTTGAGTGTCCAGTACACGTGACAGCTTGTCGTTCCCAGATCCAGGTGCCTTCTGCCCTGTCCCAGACTCACCCCTCCCTGGCTCTGCCTCCTGTGGAAGGACTGGCCCCCTTCCACAGGGGGCGGGTGAGGGTCCACCCGAGATATCCTCTTGAGGCTCACTGGGGGGATCTTACATCGACCCCGCACCAGTCTGTCCTCTCTCGGTCCCCTCAGCACTTTGTTCCAGCCTCGCTTGTGGCAACAAACTGCCCTCTAGGCCGGATGTGACATTTGCCAACCGGACTATATGCTTAGGGCCAAGACCGAGAGTTCCTTCCAGTTACAGGCTTATTGTTTGTTTAAGTAAACAGCCAGCTTCCCAGGTAGAGATGGCTTCCGAGAGTGTAAAGTGCATATCACTAATGGCCTCTTCCTGCACATGCCCCATGTGTCTGGCTGTTTTATGGGGTATTTGTCTTCTAGGTGTGGAGTGAAGTCAACCAGGCGGTCCTGGACTATGAGAACCGTGAGTCAACGCCCAAGCTCGCAAAATTGCTGAAACTGCTGCTTTGGGCTCAGAGCGAGCTGGACCAGAAGAAAGTGAAGTACCCCAAAATGACAGACCTCAGCAAGGGCGTGATTGAGGAGCCCAAGTAGGCTGTATGGGCAGACCCAGCATGTCCCTGTGGCCCGGGCTCGCCTCCATCAGTCTACGACTGGAAGATTTTTACTGCAGTAGAGAACTCTTTTTCTCCCCTCGTGCTTTTTTTTTGACCTGGCATCTTTTTTAAAGAGAAAAATGGCCCTTTTAAGCGCTGGAAAATGTGTGGCGAAAGACACCGTCTGTGTGGAAGCCTGACACAGACTGCACGCCGCGGTGCCTGCTTTAGAGCTGGGCAGCTGTGGTTTGCCCTCCAGCACTCTCAGAACTGTGGCTGCTGAGGACTCTGCCTGCCGCTGAGCGCTGCATCTTTAGGGACATCGGGTAAGCTTAAGGCCTCCTGCTTCGAAGTATATGAAAAGCACTGATGACAATTTTGCTTTCTGTTAGCTCGTAGGCAGACAGCATGTGTTCTTAACTCTCCTGGGTCTTGTCAGGCCTTCATCTACAGGTTTTTCCTTACACCTTTGGTTCTTTGCTTTTTCTTTTTTCCGATAGGAAAAAATATATAGATTTGTAAATCCTAATTCAAAGATGACTTTTGTGTGAGGGTATCGAGTTTGATTTCTTTTTCCCTTTCATCTGGGTTGTGTGGATTTTGGGGAGATGTGTGTGTGAGGGGTGGGGCTATGTGGTTTTTAATTTTTTAAATATATATTTTGGTGCTTTATGTGATAAGAGACTCATTCATAGTGGATCAATGAACCATCTCTTCTGGGCAGTTTTGTTGAAAATAAAGGTTTCTCTTTAATTTCAAGAATGATCAAAATGGCCTCTAAAAAGTTTTAATCATCTCAAGCAGCCTTTGTTGTCAGGGCTGACTTTCCCCTGTGGTAATGGCAGTGGCATCGGCTAGCACCTGAAGCTGAAGACTGTGGTGCCCAGCCCTGTGCTCAGGGAGCGGCCTTCGTGAGAGCAAGGCAACCCTGGTGCTGATGCAGACGGCGTGGCCTGGCAGGAAGAACGCATGTCCAGCCCCAGTGATCTGCACTTCAGCATTTCAGAGCAGCTTCTCATCTTTTATTTCATCGTCAGCCAGTTCTGCAGATGTCCTGCTCTGCTCGGCAGACGGCGTGGCCTGGCAGGAAGAACGCATGTCCAGCCCCAGTGATCTGCACTTCAGCATCTCAGAGCAGCTTCTCATCTTTTATTTCATCGTCAGCCAGTTCTGCAGATGTCCTGCTCTGCTCCCTCACAGATTGTCGTCTGCTCAGTGGAGTGCAGGAGGGAAATGGCCTGACCCGGGATGGTGTGGTCAGTGCAGTTGGTGGGTGTGTGCCTATGTAGCCCAGAACACGATGTGCGTTTGGATTCGCTGCAGTGGACCACCTGGAGCTGAGTATCTGTGCCTAAGCAGGGATGAAAGTCGTGTTGTGGATAGCCGCAGAATTCCCAACACATCAGAGCGGGTCTTGTGGACACGTGGTGACGGTGCGGGCGCCGTCCTCAGATGTGGGATGCTGTTAGTGCTGACTTGGAGGACCTGCTCGCCTTACTCTTAAGCAGCAAGAGGTACCTTGACAAGAGAGGTCAGGCTGGGGCATGATCGCCAGCTTACCAGCACCCACGTGGCCGGGGCTGCCTCTCCTGGGCTGTCTGCTGATCCTGGAGCATCTGCTGTCTTGTCCTCTCCACTCGTTGCTTTCCTCTCTCACTTGGACCCTGGTGGGGTCGTGTTTCCAAGCTCTCTACTTCCACTTTCCGTGGTAGGAGCTTTTGGCAGTACTTATTTTTACTTACATTGTTTATGTAATTTAGCAACAGATGCAAAGATAAAACTTGCATTGATTATAAAACCATTCTAGCCTCCAGACTGACCCTTCGTGTAGCCCTTTTGATTTTGTGAGGATGATGTACCCGGGCAGGGGTCTTCCCCTTACCTCCTAGAAATGGTGTTTCGACTCTACTCCTGCTGTCTCAGTAGTCTTCAGATGTTACTTTTTTTAGGATTATTTCCTCTGGGGTTTGAGAATAATAATAAGTTAGAGCAAAAAAGTTTTAATCTTCAGGTAATTGATAGGTTAAATATAGCAGAATCTGGAAGAAAAACTAGGTAGAGATAAAACTACATTTTTTGAAAAGCACCAGATAATTCAGCATATTCCTAATTATCTTGTTAGTGTATATAAGACCTCTTACGTGAATAATTAGTATGTAATCAATCTGACATGTTCTCAAGGTCAGAGGGCGTGCGATGTGTAGTGAGGGAAAGCTCGTCTGCAGGGGTCATATGCACAGACTATCAGGACAGGATGGGGTTCATCACATGCATGAAACGTTACGATGTGGTTATAAGACGAAGTGTTGGTATATTATGTACCAGTTCAACCAGTGTGTAGCTTGGTAAGCCAGTGCTAAAATCCAGTATGGGCTAAATGTTAGACTCAAATTTCAGATATTGTTTTCTCTACCTTTGTTTAAGAGCCAGACTGACTTCTCCCATGGTTGTTAATGGACTGGAGTCTCCTGAGGAAGTGCTCCTTAAATTTGTCCTGTTTGCCACCTCTTTGCAGTCTCTTTTTGCAGCCAGCGAACAAAAGCAAGCAAGCAAGCCACTTTGGATAATGAACGTTCAGTATAATTCAGTTTTTCTACTTGGTCTCACTTGGATCTCACTGTTGTGTTTATTAAAATGTAGTTACGTTTTACAGAGTAGTTTATTTCTTCTTTTTACGCCTTCTGGTGGAAAGTGCCTTGAAATAAATAAAATTTGAGAATATTCTGCTACTCTGTGTTCCTGATATCATGAAGTCATGTGGGGAACAACCCCTAGTTTGGAATCTTTTCAAAGCGTAGGGATTATTGCAAAGCAAATGAGAACTAATATATTTCACTATTTGAATTAAGGTTTCCAGGTTTTAGAAAAGGCAGATGTTGATCAGGATTGGTATTTGAGGCCAAAGTCTCCATGGTACGTGGCTGAAGACTGGTGGCCCTGTGCGTGTGGAAACTGTACACCAGAGTCCACTGAGGCCTGGGCGAGGCCAAGCTCATCTTTCTGTCCAGTCAAGACGTGATCCGATCATCTAGGCAACAAATCAACAGAGTAACCATTACTCTGTCAGAAAGAAGAAATCCAGGGTTATCAGAGGTGGGAGCGGGGAGGGAGAGGGGAATGGGGAGAGACTGGACAAGGGGCATAAAGAATAAGTACGATTTGTAACAATATATATGCAAGTAATATTGATTTGATCAACATATGTCAATGTTAACCCCCCAAAATATGTATAATCAATTATGATTCAATAAAAACAAAAAATTTTTAAAAAGACAATCTGAAAACACATAGGGAAAATATATCGAGGACAGTTTTTCTAAGGCAATGGGATGTCTTTATTTTCTTATTTCTGTATACTGTTAGTTTTGGAGAGTGGAGGGACCAAGGGTTCCAGCAAGAATCTTACACATTTTATGATAAAGACAATGACATCCTTGGAATAAGGAAGCACGATTCCCTTCTGGGGTGTCACTGTCAAGTCTCAGTGTGAACACAGACCAAACTAGAAGCCTCAGGTGAACAGGGGCCTCCCACTTCCCTGCTAATGGAAGGTGTTGTGTGGTGTGTAGCAGGCAGTCACCGTCACAGGGCTGGAGGCAGTGACCCACGGGTGGTGCAGTGGCCCGTCATCATGGACCTGCAATAATTGCTGCTCAGTTAACATGTTTTATTCTGATACATGGAGATTATTTTTCACAACAGGTATGTTTTTGCTTCAGAAATCTGTATTGCTTTTTCAGATTTACAGTAAATTGTATCATCAGCGTTAGTCATTTAAAATCCTTTGTAAAACCATACCCAGCTCTAGTACTTTTGTGCCTGTTCAATTCTGTGACTCTATTACCTGAGACAAACGTGCCTCATGTTTTGAAAAGTGCAGAGTAGGTTGCTTTTGGTGCCTGTTTTTAATTTGGTAGTAAAAGTTATTACATTTTTCTCAATGGTCATCTGAAAGCTCTTTTCTTCCATGAAGGTATTTTAATAAGAACAAAGAATTAAATTAACACATTTGTATTGAATGTGTTGGTGTTAGAATTGATCAGTAGAAGGAAACTTCAGTTTGATGAAACTTTGTGCTTTGGTTTCCATCTGTCTCCGCTCTGACAGTGCTTCCCTTTTTGGTGTGTGTGTGTTTCGTGTAAATGTATGTGTTTAGTTTGAAATCTGTCATCTGTCCTCTAGAGCTGTGGCACTATGGTTTCGTAGACCATACACACAAGAAAATTTATCAAGTGAAGCCCACAGATCAGATGCACCCAGCTGTACCCAAAAGAATGGACAGAGGAAGTAATGACTGAAGATGGGTGGATCATGTCTGTCTGTGTCTCTGAGCAGGGGCTCGTTGAGTGCAGGTCAGTTTGCAAATGTCTCTGCCCCGCTGTCGACACTAAGCAGCCCCCTCTACTCAAGCTTGGTGGCAGACTTCAGACTGGCACATGGAGCCTCAGAGAGGAAGATGACCAGAATGCAGTTGCTTACTGTGCCCCATGTGACTGCCCGTGTTCAGAGGTGCCCCGTGTGTTTGGGGATGGGCTGCATGAGCCTGCCGCCCGTCACGGTCCCCGCCTGGCTGTGCCTTCCTGCTTCCCGCAGACACCGCAGCGGCTTTGCTCACATTCAAGGTCTCCTCCCTCCTACGGATCACAGTGTTTGACCATTGGGCTAATTTTCCCAGCTTGCGTTTGAAAGTGGAGCAAGCTGGCCTGTCACTGTACATGGGGGTCGAGGAGGAGCAGGGGGAGGAGGAGGTGGTGGTCAGCCAGGAGCATGGGCCCGGGGCAAGGGGACGGGGCTCTGGTCCCTGCTTTGCCACAGACTCATGGGACCAGCCAGCCCTTAGTCTCTGGGCACTCCAGTTTTAGAAATGTTGAACAGCAGTGTTTATAAGATTCAAGCAATGAATTCACTAGCACTTTGAAAGAATGAACTGTTGCAGAACCTTCAAAACTTCTTCAGCATAATGGACTGTATTACGCAGAGCCCATTACTGTGACTGTGATGTTCATCTTTCTGGTTCCCAGTGAAATTTTACACAATTCTCTGTCCTTTTTTTCTCCACCATTTAGAGTATTAATTCAGCGTGGACGGTGGATGCCCCTCCATTTGTAGTTAATTTGTGCAAATTATGTCCAGGGCTGGGATCTTACATCTTAGTTGCCTGTCAGTGATAGCGGAGGAAGGTGTTATTTGCAGTCTCATTTCCCACATGTTGGACTGGAGAGGGGTGGGTCCAGGTGGGGTGCAGGGAGGAGCCCCAGCCCAGGCTCTGGTTTGTCTGTATTCATGGAAAGCTACACGGGCTGTCGCGGGACCTGTACTTGACCTCCTATACTCATTCTCCTTGGCAGTGTGGGTCACGAAGGAGGCTGAGGAAGCGGGGAACCAACGTAAGTGGTGAGGCGTGAACTTGTTTAAAAAGAAAGCTTTACGGCATGTCTCCTTGTGGCAGCACTTGAAATAAAGAAACATGTTAGGCGGGCAGGACCCAACAAGAAGGCGGAGCCATAGGCCCCCAGAAGCAGGCCAGCGGGCATCTGCTGACAGCTCTGTCACAAAGGTCTCCTCTGTCCTTGAGAACCCAGGTGGTAACTGTTTACCATCCTTTCCATATGTGATTTTCCACCTTGAACCTCAAAGATAGTTTGTTGGTTGGGTGTGCAGCAGCTCGTAGAATCTGGAAGCCTGGAGACTGTGTCCACCTCGGCCACCACTGACACTGAATGTCCCTGCCCCCCAACCCAGAGCCTGGCACATATTTGTTGGTTGGGTGTGCAGCAGCTCGTAGAATCTGGAAGCCTGGAGACTGTGTCCACCTCGACCACCACTGACACTGAATGTCCCTGCCCCCCAACCCAGAGCCTGGCACATGGTCAGTGCTCAGAACAACTTTGTCTATGAATTCAGAGGCCAGTGACCATCTTCAGCTCCCTTCAGCACGGCCCTGTAAGATGGGGACCACCATCACCCCCATATTACAGACGGGGAAATGGACTCTCCCACGGCTCCCTTTCATGTCCAGGGCCTGCCACTGGTTCTGGGGTCGATCTCCTCCAAAGCCCCCAGTCCAACTTTCCTGCTGCCAGCGAAGCCCCAGTGCCAACCTGGGGTGGGAGGGAGTGGAGGCTGCAGCTCTGCCAGGGCACCTCACCTCAAACCAGCCTGGGCCCGGGCAGCCGTGGGTGCCGTTCCTGTGGGACTGGGTGCCGTTCCTGTGGGACAGCAGGGAGGTCCCTGGCCCAGCCTCCCTAGACGTTGGTGGGGCGGGGACCGAGGGGTACGCCCCGCAACACGTCCTGGGAGCGACAGACAGGAAGCATCCGGGGACTGACACGTGGACTTGGGCGGTGCTGCCTGGGTGGGTCGGCCCATCAGGCCCTGGGACACGCTGTCCCCACGGCCATCCCAGCGCCCTGAGCCTGATGCAGCTGCCCCCGGAGGAGGCCCGCAGGGACGTGGCTGAGGACGCCCAATGGTCCAGGTTGGGTGACCCGCAACACAATGGCTTGGGGGCAGGGTGGATGTTTGGGGAGGGAGCTGAGACGCTGCTGGCTGGGACCTCAGTGAGGAGTGCTGCTCTGTGGCATGGGCTGCACTGCAGGAGGCTGCCCTCCCAGACCCTCCTCCACAGCGGGGCCACTTCTCTCTGCCTGGGGCTGGCACACCCCTCCCTGGGCAGCCCAGCCCTTGGGAAAGAAGGAGGACCCTTCTCCCTGCCACCGAGTCCCAAGACCTGGCAGGTGCCCTTGAGCCCTTCTCCCAGCTGGTAGCCCTGGGAGTCTGGCAGTTTGGGTGATGAGGAGGCATGCCTCTGCCAGGTAGGACCACACCTGTTGATGGGTGTCCCCACAGCTGGGGTGAGGAGCAGCACAGGGGCACCTGACTGAGGCCAGCTTTGGGGCAGGCAGAGGGCCAGCTAGGAGCACTTGCTGGAGCCTGTGGCTGGCTGGCCAGGTCCTGCCACCACATGCCAACTGTGTGCCAGGATGGTTCCCCATTGGCCTCGGCCCTCCAAAGGATTCAGTTGTGGGGAGAAGGGCACAAGCAGGTCACCCACCCCTGTTCATATTCTGTTTCCCCCAACCACTGCTGCCTGCAGAGGCTCTAGGGCAGGTGATACCCATGGAAACTAGGAGTGAGATGGCCCCAATGGGACCCCCTAGAGAAGTCCCCAATCTACAGAAGAGCCACTGCCTCACTGGTTCTGTGAGCTGAGGCCCCTTGGCCACAGCAGCTGGACCCTGGGCCCAGAGTCCGGCCTTGTGGATTCCAGAGCCAGTCTACAACCAACTGCGACAAATGCATTCGGGGGAATGGCACATTCCCACACCGCCTGTTAGCCATGTGGGGCCAGGACTCTGGAACTGCTGGGAAGAGCTGCAGGAAGGCCCTTAGGGACAGTGCTGCTCCTGGGTGTTGGGGCAGAAATGAAGGCAGAGCTGGTGGGAAGAGGCAGAGGCTGAAGGTCGAAAGAAACCTTCCAAAGCCAAAGCCAGCAGGGGAGGTGAGGAGCCACAGAGCCCACACTGTAGCCGCCCTGGGTGTGCTGGGAGCAGGGACCACCAGGAGGGCCTGCCTCGCTCACTTCCTCCTCCCCTGCCCAGCATGTTACACCCAATGTGTAACCCTGGTGGAGGGCCAAACCAGGCATCT